ACTAACGGTCTACTAACGGACATTGACGGTCAACTAACGGAAATGACATTTGGTGATATTGTACTAAACCTCAGTGACATTTGGTGAATTTTGAAAAACACGATGACATTTGGTGAATTTTTTAAGTACTGAGTGACATTTGATGAAATAGCCGTATTTCTAATTATTGTATGAGTCTTTTCAAAGGCTTTTTGTATTACATTGTCATTAAAATTGGTAGTCCTTCCAAAAGCATATTTTATGAAAGGCCCCGGTACCTCAAATAAAGATACAATTTTTGTATCTCAAATGACATATTCATTATTTTGTGGCTATGAATCGTGCTTAGTGATTATTTAATTGTTTTATACTTGCTGAGATGATGATTGTGTAACCAAAGTGACTCCGTTTGATGGAGTTAACTCTATAAACATTTAACATCGTTAATGTAACTTTTCTTGGATTTTTTTTTTTTTTTCACAGCTCTCGGATCTTGTCTTTTTTTTTTCACACCCATCATTTTTTAATTGCAAATTTACAAAGTCAATGAAGCTCGAAAATCTGTAGACACCGGTCTGTGAAGCTCTGTACTGTTGCATCTGGTAATGGATGTTGTAGACCTGAGAAAGTGAGAGCGGCCAATTGAGTCTCAGATCTGTGCTGGAACTTGTTATCAATGGAAGGTAAGCAAATGTTGTTTCAATGAACCTGGTTACTAATATTTGTCTGTTTAGTAGAGGCGCATTAATTTTAAATTAGTAGTTGTAGCTTTACTACCAAGGTGTTAATTGTGTAATTAACAGTTAGTTGCTTGAGTATAGAGTCAACAAGATTTAATTTTGCAATATAATTGAATGTTAGAATTGAATTGCTGCTAGATTTACCAGATTAGGGACCTCTTTGTAATTCGAAATTTATTACTATTAAAATAATTACCAGTAAAAAGACTAATGAAGTGCATTGGGATTAATAATTACCACTATAACTGCTAAGCTATAGTTGATTGGGTAATAATTATGATGCTTTGTTATATACGTTGATTTTTTTAATGGTCGCTGTTACGATTCTATTCCTAAATTCAGTGTATTAGAGATTTTGTCCTGAATATATTTTCTGTGTTGTGTGGAATTTTTCTTATTTACACCATGTTTGTGGTTTATAAATGAAGCAGATAAAGAGGTGGAGTTGTTAGGGGTGATGGGCATCCTGAAATGCCATCTATAATCAGGGGCAGTGAGCATGTTGACATAGTTGATAGGAGTAGTGGAGTAAAATTGATTGGGAATGGTTTCAACAAGGTTGAGGGACTTGATGAATTTGTCTTTGAGGGTGTAGAAAACAATGAGTCAGAAATGTATAGTGAAAGTCAATATGTTTCTCTTATGAAGACAATTGAGACAATCGAAACTATTGTTGCTAGCAATAACATAACTGTTGTTACAACGTAGAACCACCTCAAGTTGGTATGGTATTTAAAAACCTGGCAAGATGTCGAATCCTATTATAAGGACTATGCTGAGCAGATTGGTTTTGGCGTTGCTAGGTGCAAGGAGTAAATTCAAAGGACAAGAAGAAGAGAATAGCCACGACTTGGAGGTGTGAGTGTTAGGGTAGACCTGATATAAGGGCAAGGAGAGAAGCTAAGAAAAGGGCTATGGCCATGGATGTTTCAGGTACAGGTGGAGTTGTAGATGGTGTAGTAGGCGAGGATGAGTTGGGGGTGGCAAGAGACGTCCAAAAAATGTGAGTGCCCTGCCATGGTATATGCTAGTGTTAATGAAGAAGGAGAGTGAGTAGTGGGGGGGGGGGTGAAATTGAACATGAGAGGCACAAGCCGTCCCCTAGTAACTCGAAGCTCGTTAAGGAGTATCGTATGAAGCATATGACCTCCACCGTTCGAAAGAAGTTGTTGAATTACTTTGACAAGGGTGTACCTGTTACACAAATACATAGTTGCTTGGGAACGGAGAGGGAAATGCCGTTGACTGTCAAGGATTTACAGCATGAGGTTTATAAGGCTAGAAGGTTAAAGATGGTCGGGGGTGATGCTGTGGCTATGATGGAATATTTTGATAAGATGCAAGCAGGAATGACAATTTTTTTCATGCTCCACGGCTTGATGTAGAAGGGCGGCTGAAGGATGTATTAGTCGTGCGGCGTACGATGACTTTGGTGATGTTGTTTGTTTTGATGCAACTTATTTAACCAATGATTACGAGCTCCCATTTGTTAATTTTGTTGGAGTTAACCACCACGGGCAAACAATTTTGCTTGGGTGTGCGTTGGAATCTCGTGAAGATTCAGATACGTTTTCTTAGATTTTCAAGTAGTGGTTGGCTAGCATGAATAATAGGGCTCCTGTAGCCATATTGACTGACCAAGCGGCTGCCATGAGGAAACTGCTAGCTGAGGTGATGCCTGGTACTAGGCATCGGTGGTGTATATGGCATATAACCAGGAAGTTTCCCGAATAACTTGGCAAGTGCTCAATGTAAGTCTGTTATGTTTTTGTACACTCTCACATATGATTGCAGCTGTCCCTTTACTTTTTTGCTTCTTTTTTGGATGTTGTGTTTATAAGACCTGTTGATTCTGATCAAGTTTTGACTAAGTGTTGACTGTGTAGGAGTTTTGGCTAAGGGAAGTTGTCCCTTGTTGATTTACTTGGTGTAACGAATCTTTTCCCACTGTATCCAAAATTCAAATTTAATCTACACTCTTTAAAAAGTGAGAAGATCAGCAGAACTGTTCCTTATGAACAGTAGGGCAGTGTGCGAACGGTTTTGTCCTTGTCTTGGGATGTTATTTGCGGTCTTGCCATTGGATCTTGAATTCCTTTGCTTTCTACCTCAGCGGTCAGTCCTACTTTTCCTGAATTCACTTGCCATCACTCATTCATTTCCGTTTTCTCTCTCATCCTACTCTCTTTCTCTTTCCTCCTCTGCTATTGTCCAGCCATTTTTCCACTTTTGCTTTTAAGATTTTTCGCTCTTCCATTGAAGGTCAATCTGAGTTTTCCATTGAAGCGTGTTCTGAGCTTCCTTTCTTCCATTATTGCTGAGGTAATTACTCGTACTGAATAAGTGTGAATTTTTACTAATGGAAATTCTGATTTAATAAATGGAAATTCTGATTTCACAATTCATAAACTCTATCAAATTTTTGTTATCTTTTTACTTTTGGTTGAGTTAATCTGATTTCTGATTATTTAGTTGATTTTTTATCTTACTTTTGGTTGAGTTATTCTGATCATTTATTAATTACGAGTTTGTTGAGTTCTCCTTCGGTCATTTACTTTTGGGGTTTTATTTAGTAAAGAATTTTATAATAATTAAGAAATTGTGTTGATTGTTCTATAGTCGTATCTTGTGCTGCAGTTCAGAAACTATGTTTGGATTCGGTTCTGATGATTGTAGTTTATGTTGCTTGCAGTTCAGCGTAGTGTTTCTGGTGAAGGTGTTGGTGAGTTCGATGTATCTGCATTCAAGGTATTTAGTTCATTCAGTATTTTTTTTGGTGAATAGTTCATTCAGTATTGATAGTGGTTATCATTGATTGATGGATTTTAAATTTAGTTTTGTATTGATTAACTTTTGGTGATTGGTAGCGGTTATGTTCGATTTTAGTGGTGATGGGTTGCAAATAGCAGGTGATTGGTATTTAGATGCAATCTATATAGATTTTGGTTATTTGAGGTAGCTTTTCTGTTTATTAATTTACTAATTAAGCTTTTTCATTTTGGTCGAATTCCAATGTATGGTTCCATTGTAGACTGTAGCTGCACACTTCAATTAACAAAGCAAGACCCTTATTGCTTTGTTGAACGTAATTTGCAATATCTGGTTGCATAGTTTGTGTTATTGCTGGAGTAACTGAGGTTTTAAAGAACAATTTCAGTAGGATTGGTTAAATTTTCTTATGTTTGGTCATAGTTGTATATGGCGATAATTTACTGGGTCTATAGTTCGTTTTTAGAATGCAAATTTAATATTTCTTTGAGAATATTTTTTGTTTTGGTTTTTAAGTCATATACTTAACTTTCCATCAATGTGATTTTGTAGGAATCTTATTAAAAAATCAAGCAGAACGTAGAATGAAACTGCAATTTTGCCGCCAGACAATTACAAATGGCATGAGATAAAGAATCTCAGACTCTTCCAGGTTAGCACTAAATCTTTACAGTCCATTCTTAAACTCTTCAACTGGTTTTTGAACCCTTTTACATTTGAATATACCTTTGCTTAACCGTCCCCTTTGAATCTGCAATTGGTCTTCTCCACACTAAGGGGTATCCTCCTCCTCGGTTCTTTTTATTTAACTGCTGGTTTTTGTTGCTTGTATTATAACAGGATATATATATAATCATTTAGATTAACTTTAATGATTAAATAAAAAAAAAATCCATGTACTAAGGAAATGTACGATATCCCAAATGTCATGTGTGTTAGGGTGGTTAATAATATGTAACCTTGTAATGTTGTTGCATTTCTTATCAATAAGTGCTAAAGTGTGGACATATGTTTCTCAAATAACCTTTAAAAGAGAGAATAATGAGAAAAAACTCAACAGCGCTATTTTGAAGGTCTAGGGGCTCTTTAACATCAGTTGCCTTAATTCCTGGATTGATTTATTATCATTACTTAATAACACTTAAACACATAGGAAAGTCCATTTTCAGAACTTACTTTTCTCATAACCAACTCTAGGTCAAATAGCCTCTGTAAAATTAATGGCAGTTATTTAGAATAAGGTGTTCTGATTAATGCTTGGATTGTGAGTATTGTTAGGTCCTTTTCTCGAGGCTCATGTAAGACGAGTCATAGTTATTAAACTTACTGCTTACATGTCTCTTAGGAGGACTGTACTGTATTTGCAGTTTCAGTAAGATTAAGACATTACCAAATACATTTTTGTTTAGTTTCCGAAAAAGTTTTGGTTTAAGAGCACTGCAGGAAGAAGTTAATCAAACTGATAACTGTTGCAGATTGCTTATGAATATGCAAAAGAAAATGGGTTGCATTTCTGTGAAACTTTTGCTAAAACAGCACAGAAAGTCAATGAGCTCTTTTGTGAAATAGGTCACTTCTTCCTTTCCTATCCTTTTGAATCATTATTAAAATAACACAAAACTAGAATATATTCAATAGAAAATAAAAAGAGAACACACAAAGAATGACTGTCGTAGAGCTTATGAACAGTGAACGACCATTATTTAAGGTTAATCGAGGGGTAATTTCATCCCCCCCGCCCTTCTTTTATATATATATATATATATATATATATATATATATATATATATATATATATATATATATATATATATATATATATATATATATATATATATATTTTGCTAATTTTTGTTTTATATTTTTAGTTTGTTACTTTGAATAATTTGGGTGATGAATTTTGTTACTGAGTTTGCAATCACTGATTTGAATGTTGCATAGGTTTTGATTCCTATTCTGAAACCAACTAGATACACTGGTGCTGATCCTTATAAAATGTAAGGTTAGTCTCACCTTCAATGCTTTTTTTACTAGCTATTTATGTTTCTCGAGTTTTTTGGTTTGCTATTTCAGTTATCGAGCATTTGCTTTAGAAAGTGGGATTTTGGTGAGTTTGATTGGTGTTGTTTACGTGCAATTAAGCCCTTTTCTTTCAAGTAGCTGTAGAATTGGATTCTGAGCGAAATCGGGTAAATGAATGACTAATAAGGTTTTGGATGAGGCCAAATAAGTGAAGTGTATTCTAATTTAGCGCCAAGAAATTTAATAATCAGCTTCAGAGATTTAGTAAACGGCTTGGTTTGTAGGCAGGAAGCAGCAAGATGGCGAATACTTGATTGTGCAGGAAACCTGTACACACTTTTAAAAGTCAGAAGTTGGGATGGGTATCAAGCTCATAGATGAACTTCTGTGGTTCAGATGTTCCAAAATTGTTATTTGGTAATTTAGGGTTTCCAACTTAATTCGAAAAAAGGTCAGTATCAAGCTCATTGATGAACTAATAAGGTGACCATGTGGTGATTGCTTTGAACTTCCAGTAATAAAGGGTAAAAGAACGAGAGAGGATCTTAATCTTATAATGGAAAATGAGAATTAAAAATAAGACTGATGTCAATGTTATTAGATTGGACAAAAGCTTAAGGGGCATTGTTGCAAACCTTCCTAGCATAGTCAATCTCAATCTGATTCTTGGACCTTTATTTTTTTGGATTAATATTCTTGGATGATATGACTGTTTTAAGGTTTGCACTTCAACTCTTCAAGGTTAGGATGCTATTTCTATCTTGTTTTCATCGTTGGTTAACTCTGTTCTTTTTTGCCTACTATTTAATGTAGATGATATGGGATGAAATGGAACTCTATTCTTTTTTGCCAACTATTTTATTTAGATGATATGGGATGAAACGGAACTCTGTTCTTTTTTGCCTACTATTTTATTTAGATGGTATAGTATAGGATGAAATGGGCAAGCATGAAACAAATAGGGATAACTGAATAAGATGATAGTTGAGCTTGAACAAGAATGCATAGAAGTATACACGAGAAGAGTTGATGTGGCTAACCACTCTACAGCTCAGCTACAACTGGCTATATATTGATGATTTCGAGGCAGAACTTGCATCCATTTATTCTGCAATTGGAGAACTACCATTAAATAATAATTAATTTGTGAACTTGGTAGGGTTAGTAAACTTCACTCTTTTTAGAATGCTTGATCAGGTTTCTAATTTTATGATGCTTTGTGTGATTACTTCGACTTGTGATGTGTCTAAGATACATTTGTTTTCAAAACGGTTTGCATGCTAGTTTTGTCCATATAATTCTAAAGCAAATGTCACTTATAATTATCATAAACTTATTAATTAAACCTACTTGTTTATGTGGAATGAAAATCTGAAATATTGATTTAATTTACTCTGTCACAAAGTGTTGGCGTTAATCTGAATTTTGATCAAACCCTATGTGCTATATAACTTTATTTTGACAATCAGGTACACAGAATTCAAACCCAAATTGAAGGAGGTCATATGTGAGAGTTTTATGACTGATGAGTTTGAAACGCGTTGGTGTGCGCTAATGTCTCAGTACAAGCTTGAGAAAAATGAATGGCTTACTAGGCTGTTTAAAGAGAGACATATGTGGGTGCCGGCCTATATGAAGGAGTATTTTTGGTCCAGTATGAAGACTACGCAAAGGGTTGAGAGCATTAATAGCTTTTTTGACGGGTTTCTTACTCGACATACAAAGCTGTTTGAATTCCCTCACAAGTATCGTAGGGCCATGGATAAGCGGATACGTGATGAAACCAATGCAGATGCTTACTGTTCAAAGTACTTGAGGAGGTTAGTGAGTGGTTTCAAGACGGAGAAGGTCTTTCAAAAGCTACGGACACAAAATTTCAAGAAGTCCAGACAGAATGTTCTTCGAGGATGATGTATGTGTATGATAGAGGTGAGCGAGTAATTTCTGACAATATAATTGAGTACACTCTTGAGGACCGAGTGTGGCTTGTTCCACCTGGTAAGAGTGAGGAGGTAATTACTGATCGGCATAGGTATTATTGTGTTACCTTCAACACCGAAACAACGGAAGTATGTTGTAATTGCAGGAAAATTGAAACACATGGTATTATGTGTAAACACACCATCAGTATATTAGATCGGAATTTTGTGCTTGATGTGCCTGAGAGATATATTGTAAGCCGGTGGCAAAAGGACATAATGCGCAAACATACAAGGGTGAAGGTAACTGCTGATGATCCATCCGAAGTTGTTCATGTGAAACGGTTCAATATGCTATTGAAAGTTGCTGAGCCATTGTGTGAAGAGGCGGCCATGGTGAATGATGAGACGGTACAAATGGTCATAGACTCAATTAATCAGTTGCGGTTGGATGTTGATAAGTGTAGGAAGACGAAGCTTGAGCAAACCATAGCTCTAAATTTCCCGAATGATTTTCAGGGATCTGCGAGTGCAGGGTTCAGTGGTACAGCCTTGGCTGTTCAGAAACCAACTCATGTAGAAAATGTAAAGGAAATTGGTGCTACTGTTAAGGACCCGGTTCCACCGAAGAAGCCTCGAGGTAGGCCAAAAGGTTCAAGTAACAAAGGTTTAGCTGATATAGGTTACAAAAAACCAAAACAGCAGAAGGCTAAAATATGGCAGCAATCTTTATGTTTTTTACACTTATTGCGATATCTGTAATTTAGCTAGTGGTTGTTTGTCATTTAGTTGTTTTGCTGATAATGTAGGAACCAAATGATGCTGAAAACGAAGGAATGATGGTGCAGACTCACCTGTAGCCCCTGATGTGGCTGCTCCCGATATACTTCCAGTAAATATCCTGTTATGATTTTTCATTATACATGCCTTTCAATATTAACTTTGTAATACAAGTAGCTGCTGCATTTACTTTTTTGGAATCAAATTAATCAGGTTAAACGGAAGCAGGCACAATTGGTGGATTGCGACACTATTGGTCTGGGTGACAAAGTGACTTTTGATAATGAGTTACTAATGAGGAAAAGCATGGAATGGTGCACGGGTCCATCTGAATTCTGAAATGCTTTAGATGTGCTCTAGAAATGACTTAGGTGTTCTTGACCAGGTTAGGTGTACGTTTTAGGACATGCGTTTTTGGTGGATGTAGCTTAACCAAGTATTAGGCTATGTTTAAGCTTATATTCGGATCTCTACATAGTAACTCAATATTTGTGGTTAATTTGCCCTTAGTTATTTTAACTAAAAGCTTGTAATTTTTATGGATCACCATTAGTACTGGATTATAGATTTAAGTTTAAGCTTTAAGTTAATTTATATTACTAAATTATTTCAGTCAGATGATAAATTACCATATTACTTTGTGCAACTTTTATGTACTGTATTACAGGCTTACCATATTCAAAGAAAAAATGGCAAAAAATCAAAACACAATCAAAGTAATGAAAATCGACCAAAAGTGTCGGCTGATTAATTAATTAAAACAGTCGGCCAAAAGGCCGACTGACGAATTGAGAATCGTCAATAAACCCCGACCCCTTGGCCGGGTAAAGAAAAAAACGGCACGCAGGCCGTATAAATAGAAAAAATAAAGCATAGCTTAATTAAGCAGAAGGAGGGCGGTCAAGTTTAGCAAGCGTCTGAGGCAAGTCCTCAACTGGCGCCTGGTCCTTCTCAGCAGTCGCCTCCTCCTACGCAGGACCTTCCTGGGGCGGCTCCTCCTAGGCTGGCTCCCCCTACCTCGGCTCCCCTGCCGCCTCGCCTTCCTGCTCAGACTCAGAAGAAGAGTCAGATGACTCCTCCTCCTCTTCGGCCGCCTCCTCATCGTCTATCTGACCAAGAATTTCAGCATTGTAGGCGTCAGAACAGGTGGCGAACTGCTTATCCCATTTTTCAAAGTTGGAATTAGGGAGTAGAGCAGCCCAGGAACTCTTCATGATGGCCATATAGTCATCATTCATGTCCTGGACGAGGACCTCCTTGTCCTTTTGCTCCGCCTCCGACAGTTGAGCTTGAATTTGAGCAGTAAGGTCCGCCTCTTGAGTCTGTAGGCGGCTCTTCAGCTTGGTAAGGCGCCTACGCAGGCTCTCCTCCTCCTTCTCCGCCTGCCTGAGAGGCTCCATCTCCTCTCTAAGGGCCGCCAAGGAATGCTCCAGCTCTTGAATCTTGGCCCTGGCCGCCTCAAGGTCCTTCTTGACCTACAAATTGGCTGACGCCTGAGAATAAAGGATGTCAATCGTCAAGATTTCATTTTGGGCTATCTGGAACATAGCCTTGTCAAAATCAGAGGCGTTCATGGCCTTGGCAGAATTTACCTCTCGGTTCTTCTCATTAATGGGCCGACAGAGCCCTTGCACGCGGAGCATAGTCTGCGGGCGTCAGTTACACCAGGCGTCAAATAAACAGGCGGCTTAAACCAATAAAGCATTAAAAAGTGCTAAGTTACCTCAGCCAGGATGGCCTCCAAATTCAGGGTGCCGACTCCTGGCACATGGTCCTTCTCCTCAGTAGGAATGGAGCGCAGCATAGTCCTGGCCATCTGGACCAGGTCAATCTCAGCAGGGGCGCCTGCAAAAAAATAGATTGGTTAAATTCAGTCAAAACACGAAAAACAAGTCGCCTGGTTCTCATAAAACAGGCGGCCCTTCAATCAAATTCACAAAAAGAAAGGCAACTAACTTTGGTATCCCTTGGAGGCCGGCTGGTCGCCGGGGTAACAGGCGTCCTAACCCCTCTAGGGGGGGTTCCTGTTCTGCTTCTCAGCAGAAGGCCGCCTGGCATTCCCAGGTGTGGAGACGTCCCTAGCCGTCTGCTTTCGGACTTTGGGGTCCGGCTGGGAAGCAGGAGAGGACCTGGACGTGTTGCCCTGCAAACAAAATTAAACAAATTAATAAGCAGGCGGTGGGTTTACTAGAGAGATTTCTCAGGAGAGGTTCCCAGAGAACCAATCCCATGCTGACACGTGGCATACCCAATGATTGGGTAAAATGACGGCTTTTCTAGCCCAATTCCCGAGGAAGCCCTCCATTCCTAAGTTTTCGTTACCTAGGATGGCGGCACACATTTCAAGACCCTATAAATAGAGAGATGTTCCCATCATGGGACACATTCAGAAATATACGCAAAAAACAGAGCAATCATTAATTGCAGATATTCTCTCGAAATCCGAGAAAATACTTCACTTTCCGCACTTTTTACAGACTCCATACACGTTCTAACTTGATCGTTGGAGGCGGAACTCCACCCACCCGAAGTCTCCGCTATTTTGCAGGTACAGGAGTCCAGAGACCAATCTTGGAATTGTAACTCTCCCGCAGGACATCAAAAAACTTCGAAACACTAATAAGTTCAAATAATTTCAAATCAATACTAATAAGTTCTGATAAGTTCTAATAAGTAAAAATAAGTATTGCATTCTCAAAAAAATAAAAAAATAAAAAAATTCAATAAGTATATTATAAGTTCGGATCAATATTAATAAGTTAAGATAATAAGCAAAATTAAGTTAAATAGAATGGACCCATAAAGCAAGTCATAATTTATATTTTTTACTAGTACTTCGTATAATTTACATGTCATAATGTGAGTATCAACTACAATGGGAGTACTATTTTTCAGGCGCGTGCATATTTACAATTTCTATTTACAATGGGAGAAGGAGGGATATAAGGATAATTCCAACCTGACCACAAGGGTTAAAGGCGGAGTTGTAACCACTATTTCAAACCATTCCAAAATTTTAAGATTCTTAAAGCTAAACTTTGAACCTGTAGGTAATTAAACGTATAGTGTAAGAGAATGACAAAAACCTAAAATAAAACAAGAAAAAAGGAAATGAGTGTAGAAGCAAGTATGTATTACACCATTCCTGACTAAGCTAACAATTAGGTACTCACATTTGAGGGTTTTCACCCTTTGAGTACTCACTTTTCTTCACCCTTTAGGTACTCATGCTCAAATTTAGGTTAGTAATCATACCCTTCACCATATCACAGTTAATCCTAATATAATTAACTTGTTTTTTAAAAAAAAAAATCAATTTTATGTATAAACATAAGTTTTATTTTATCCGGCATTGTTTTATATAGTGTCATAATTGTGTGGCTTGCTTTTAGAATGACCAATTATAAATATAATGTACTCTACTTCATATATGTATTCATACAATAATTTTAAAGAGCAAATTTTGTAAAATAATTATTTTAGTATATATTTATGATTTTATTTTTGGATTTAATTATTTTAGCCAGCTGTGTGTCCTGCGTCCTACGTGAAGTGGGGTGCAAACATCGCTGCAAAACTGCTGCGATCTTAACACCGCCGTGATCCCACACACCAAGTGCCGCTGTGTACAGCGCAGCCCTATCCACCGCCAACAGCTCCGCCAATAAATCTGCCTGATCCGCATCTGTGACAACAGATGCTCGGTTTCCCTCTACGGGAATCCCAAGGATGGCCTCGACGTCATGCAACATGATCGTCATCTCACCGAACGGAAGGTGGAAAGAGTTCGTGTCCGGCTGCCATCGCTCACTCTAGTGCCCCTCAATCGGCCGACCATCTCGCTCTCCTCCGGCCAAGCCTCAGCCCAACTACACAAGAAGTTACAAGTCCTCTCCCGGGTTTGGCATTTCAAAATGCCGCTATCCAAAGCCCGCTCCTGGTCCTCCCAAATACGGGTAGCGATGTGTCCTAGAAAGCTAGGAATCACACTCCCGTCTATAGGTCCCCCGGCCACCTCACCCCTCACCATCCAAGAATCATTAACGGCCCTTGACCGTTTTCTGCTACCCACAGACACAGTGGACGCAGATGATGTGCCAGATCTACTAACAAACCTACCATCTCGACCCTTACGCACATCTACCCTATGCGTCTCATACGTATCATCAAGCCTCTGACTGAATGGACCGTAATCATCATATGGTCCACTCTGATCGTCGACATCCTCATCTGCATCATCCTCGTCCTCGACCTCCTCCTCCTCCTCCTCCTCCTCCTCCTCATCATCATCATCATCTTGATCATCCGCAGAACAGTGCACCCGTTCTCTGCGGGCCGAGGCCGAAATACCACGGGATCTAACGTGTCTGGGCCCCGAGCTCTCCATTGAGTAGATCGTACTCCTCACGACGTCAATACTCTTCCCCACACCAGGTCCAAATTGCGATGCCTAACTCCAAGTAAATAACGAAACATAATAACGAAAACAAATTAAAAAAAAGTCGAAAATAAACACAAAAGCAAATAAACAAGTTACGGAAATAAAATTATAAACATAAAAAATATAAATATAAACAAGACAATATACATATAAACATAAGAAATATAAACATAAACATATACCAAAAACAAAAAATATAACCAAAAACAAAAAATATAAACTACAAACAAAAAAAAAACAAACATAAACAAAAACAAAAAATATTACCAAAAACAAAAAATATAAATACAAAAAAGGACGAAAATAAACACAAAAGCAAATAAACAAGTAACGGAAATAAAATTATAAACATAAAAAATAAAAACATAAACAACACAATATAAATAAAAACATAAAAAATATAAATATAAACATAAAAAAATATAAATATGAACATAAAAAAATATAAATATGAACAAAACAATATACCAAAAACAAAATATATAACCAAAAAAAAAAAATATAAACAACAAACTAAAAAATGAAAAACATAAACAAAAACAAAAAAATCAAAAATGCAAAGAAAAACCAAAAACAAAAAACTAACAAAACTTAAAAAATTTAAAATTGCAAAAACTTAAAAAAAGAAGAACATCAAAATTTTAAAGAAAATTTATAAAAAAAAAAAGGGAACTTATAATTTTTTTACATACAAAAATATAATTCAAAAAAAAAAAAAAAACAATACATAGGAACATAAAATTAAAAATTAAAACCAGAAACAATTTTTTTTTTAAAAAAAAAATAGAACATAAAATTAAAACAAATAAAAAAACAAAATTTAAAAAAAAAAAGGGAACATACAATTTAAAAAAAAGAAAAAACAAATTTTAAAAAAAAAAAAAAAAATTTCGAAAATAAAATTTAAAATTAAAAAAAAACAAAAAAAAATTAAAAAAAAAAAAAAAAAGGAGGAGGCGCCTAGGCAAGACTCCTGTACGGTGGTGGCGGCGCCTATCCCAGACGCCACCACCACGGCTGTGGCGCCTAGCCTATCCGCCGCCGCCGTGGTAGTGGCGTCTGGGCTAGGCGCCGCCTCCACCGTACGGGCGTCCTGCCTAGGCGCCTCCTCCGTGGTGGTGGCGTCTCGCCTTGGCGCCCCACCGTCGCCGGAGGTTTTTTTTTAAAAAAAAAATTACAAAAATTACCTTCTCGCCGGCAAACCGCCTTCCGCCCACCGCCGGAGCCGCCACTTCCTTGCCGGGCCGCCTCGACATAGCTCGGGAAATAATTTAGAGAGAGAAAGTGGAAGTAGAGAGTAGAGAGAGAAATTGTGTTTTTTAGTTTGAGGGCAAAAGTGTCATTTCACTCTTATTTTGTGGGCTTTATGTAGGAATTTGCGGGCGATGTTTAACAGTTCACAAAACTTAACCTAGCTCTATTTTCTATTTGGAAAAATCCCTAATTACTTGTGAATTTCATTAAATAGAGGAGATCATATATGGTCGGGACGGGCTTTGCCCAAAATCTTTGGCCCATTTTGGGCCTAGTCTCCAGCCGAAAAAGGCGTGCCTAAACCAGATATTTTGGTCCAAGAAAATCAGGCTTTTCGGGCCAAATTGGGCCTGCCTAAAAGTTTAATTAAAAAAATACTTAGTACCATTTTTTTAGGACAGCCTAAACTTTTTTTTTTTTTTGAAAATCTGGTGGTGTCCGAATTTCAGACCGTAAAATTCTTACAAACCCGGATATTTATTGGGTCGGATTGAGACAAGCCGCCAAATCGGGCTTGACATGATCAGGAGTACGTTAAATTAAATTTAAACCCTATATACAATAACGACGATCTTTGTTGATTCTTAGATGATGAAATGAGTTTTAAGGTATGTTGCTGGTAATTTTTTTGCACATGTGGTTTCTTTTGATTTTTTTTTTTTTTTTTTTTTCCTTCATGAAATTAGGTTTATTTTAGAATTAGATCTTGTACTCATAACAATTAAAGCCATCTCAATCTCATGAGATCAGAAAACTTTACGAACATACAAATTCAATGTGAACATCAAATAATCATGGACATAACTTAGCATTCTAAATATAAAGTAAATTATCATTTCCCAACTTCTCACTCCAACTTTCCAAACCCTTAACAATTGTTATTCTAAGTATTAAAACTTCATGCACACATTCATGTACACATTATACGAAGTATTAAAACTTCCAACATCGTTTCCTTCGATACATCCCATCACTTTGCACCGATACACTCTACTCGTAGCCTCGTAATAATTGTTATTCTAATCAACGGTGGCGTTGTATATGTAGTACGTACATGTGAGCTAAAGCAGACATAGCAACATTAATAAATGAAAGAAAACCTGAAAAAGTGAAAAAAAAAGTGGTACTAAAATTCCACAAAGTTTACGTATTTCTTAATATTAATTAGCATTAACTTAAACATTAAACGCGCTAGTTTGACACTTGTTAATACCACGCACTCCGCTAACGCCGGACCAATTCTATAAATTTTGACGAATCATAAATTCACAACACTCCTCTCACTTTCTCTCTCCTCTCTTTCATTCATAATCTTTGACCCCTACCATTCCAACTGCTTCTGTCAATTTCTGTACAATTTTTTTTTATTCTATTAAATTAAATTAAATAAATAATTTATTATTTTTATTTATACCCTTCTTATTTTGATCGATTTCTGTGACTTTGATATTTAAATTTGGGTATGATTTTACTTTCCCTTTTTGTGTTTTTTTAATTTGTTTTGTTTAATTTTTTTGATTTTGGTAAGTTTGATTTTTCACATTTTTTTTGAAAATTTGAATGAATATCACTTTAGGGTTGTTTGATACTATTTCTTTGGTGGCAGCGGCATGCATGTGTTAGGTTCAATTAATTTTGAAATTTCATTTGTCACTTTCCACTTATTGGGATCTTGCGCAATTATTTCTCAAATTGTCTCCTTTTTTCCCTACTTTTTCTGTCTTTATTTATTAATTTTTGATTTGAAAGATTCATTCATTCATTCAGTAGAATTTGAAGATTTTTCTGGGTATTTAAATTTTGTACCTTTGATTCTATTTTTTAAAATTTAATTTATAAATTTGAATTTGGTTGGTAATGATTTTACTTTTAGATAGATATAATATGCAATTTTAATCATGGGATGATAATGATTTTGATTATGATTATGTTGATTTTGCAGATGATTTAAATTTGGTTGATTATATACAATTATACATTGTTAATTGAAGTAGTTGTTCTACAAATGCTCGGGTTTACCAGAGCACGAAATCAGTCCAGAAACGGTAGATCTTTGCCTGTTGCAGGTGGGTTTTTTTTTCTCATCTTCAATTTTATATTATTGTTTTGGTGTATAAGTTGCCACATAGTAGATGTAGACGGGGTTCGATTCGATTGAAGTATTGTCCCGAGTCTTTAGCGAACAAGCTAGTTGATATCCGACATATTTTTTATTTTGGTTAGTTGTGGCCCTGTATTTGTGTGGAAATTGTGCTTTTAGCTGATTGAAAAAGAAAGTAAGGGTAATATGGAAAGTGTGGAAAACTAACTAAAAGCTGATATTATTCTGATGGATTTTTGAGGATAATTGTTTGATCTTGTTTCTCTTACCTTTTATTTTTTCTTTCTATCAAAGTTGAATTGGTTGTGTTTGTTGGATTATAATGATGATTTTGGTGGTATTTTTCTCGCATGTTTATAATGTCACGAATAACATGATGCTAAGATAGAAGGTATACAGATTTGTTGATGAAGTATATGAATTGTATAATATAGAGTTTTTATGTTATTTGTTTTCATTTGGCTTGTAGGCATAGATTACGCTGATCCAAAGCGGAAGGGTAATGTCGTAGGTAAAATAGTTATAGCTGCTGGGTTGATTGCATTTTGCCTTATTATGATCAAGCAATCTCCAACATTTAACAGCCCAAGCCAAGTAAGATTTCTACCATAAATTTTCATTTATACTTGTATATATATATAGGAGTGTTTGCATAGAGAAAAGACGGTACAGTTGTGAGTCAGTCTAAGCTTGATCGCCGATTATTTTTACTAATGCCGGTTATGTAAGCCTGATTGAAGGTAGGAATCCAGGGCTGAATTTTTTTGAAGGCATAAATTTCGCTTCTTTCACATAATTACGACTTTGTTATGTACTTTGGCTTAAATTATTAAGCTGCATTTCATGGTAGTTGTGCCTCATTGGATTGACATTATGCTGCATGGAAAGAAAGAATGTAGCTTATTCTCTTATAGTGTTATCTTGAATCTGGTGATGTTGAAGCAATCCTCTAATGTTTACATTTGTTCTCAATGTATTTTCTTTCCCCCCCCCCCTTCAGTTTTCTCGCCGTGAAATGGGGGTCACTCATGTCCTGGTAACTGGGGGTGCTGGTTTTATTGGATCCCACGCAGCACTAAGACTTTTGAAAGACTCTTATCGCGTGACAATTGTGGTATCCTCTCCTTTCAATCATCCTTATTGTCCAGTTATTCACTAGTCATTCAGTTCTTGAGGTTTACAAATAGATTGTTTAATAATGTGTAGGACAATCTTTCTCGAGGGAACCTGGCTGCTGTTAAGATTTTGCAACAAATGTTTCCAGAACCAGGAAGACTTCAGTTTGTATATGCTGATCTGGGAGATGCTACTGCTGTATCCTTATTGTGGCATGCCATTGTTTATTTGTTCAACTTTTTTATATTCCTTTGTGCCTTCTCTATCAGAATTAGAAATCGATTAAATGGACTCAACAATGTATTCTATATATAAGCAGTATGCTTCCACATAGTATCAATTTTTATTCTATTTGTATTTTAACATCTTTCTACCCTGCTGCAACTTGCTAATTGTACATCCAACATAGTTCTTCTGAAAGAAGTGTGATTTAGGCACTATCCATGAGGCTTCTGTTTGGCACTTTAGTGCATCTTCATTTTACTGATTATCTACCAGACTTATATTATTCTCCTTTGGCCTATCTCATTTCCAAACGGTAATTTGGCAGAGTTAGAGTCTTTTATCCTCCATGATTTTCCTTAATTTAAATGCCAGGTAAACAAACTTTTTTCCGAAAATGCTTTTGATGCTGTGATGCATTTCGCTGCTGTTGCATATGTTGGAGAGAGCACTCTTGACCCTCTTAGGTAAGCTTTATTTTAGCCGTGTTTGAATGTTTCTTTGAAGTTTTGGGTAACAGTAGTATCATATTATTATATCATTTCCTATACGTGTATTGTTTTGAACATAGTATTAAGAGTGATTACAGTTGATGACTGTTGGGGGCTTTACATTGAAATGAAATGTAACAAATTGTTTTATAGGTATAAATTGTTGTGTTAATTACATTCTTCCTTACATTACCTTAATTTATTTTAGCAATTTGAATTTATGATTGATTGATTGACAGAGATGGCTTAGTGAAATCCAATAGCTTAGTATTGAATGGATCTTTCCAGGATTGACTTTGTGATTAGCCATGTGAATATGTACTATGCTGTATCTAAAGTTTGCTTTCACATATCTGAGGGAAGAGACCTTGCCTCTGTACTTAAAGAGATTCCAGAGGAATCATTACTGGCTTAATGTATATGCTTAATGGATCCTGCTTAAACTTGCTGGTTAAGTAATTTGCGTTCAATAGAAATATCAAACCACTCACAATATCTTTGCCAGTCATTTGTTTGATGTAATATTTTCTAGTATTAGTCCATGTCTTAAAAGGTTATTAATGTTTCCGTGTACAATCAATTTTGGTGGTGGTTCAGATATTATCACAATATTACATCAAACACCTTGGTAGTATTGAAGGCAATGGTAAAGCATGAAGTACGTACTTTGATATATTCAAGTACATGTGCAACATATGGTGAGCCTGAGAAGATGCCCATAACAGAGGAAACTCCTCAGGTTAGAGCCTGTTGAAAATTCCCTTGCTTTTTCATTAGTTTACTTGCTATGTACTTTTTTTTGGTAGAAAGTCATACTGTCAAAAGCTATTGGCTCTCTCCTCAATTTTAACTCTGTTGCTGTTTCAGGTTCCTATTAACCCATATGGTAAGGCTAAGAAGATGTCAGAAGATATTATTTTGGATCTCACTAAGCCAAACAAGGACATGGCAGTTATGATATTAAGGTTAGTCATCTGTCGGAACTAACAGGAATTAGCCTTGAGCATTTCCATTATATTACAAGTTATGTCTACCTGAAACTAAGAGCTGTATGCATAATGGAGTATTGTGAGCAGGGCTTAGTCTCAGTTAACGTATCTGAAAATTTAGTATCACAAGATACAAAGTGATAATAAGGTGTAAACTGTAAATAACAAGGAAGATTTTTAGTTTAAGAAATAGAGTAATTCCTTTTTTTTTTTTTTTTTCCTCTTCCCTAGTCTGCTTTGCATTTCTTCCCTAGTCTGCTTTGCATTTAAAAAAATACCGTCACTTTTCCTAAATTTTTAATTTTCTATCTGATTAGGGTTGTCCTTTTAAAGTATTTTACTAGCCTGTAGAGGTGGTGTAGTTTTTTTTTTTTTCTTCTCTTTTACTCAGTTTCACTGAATTTAGAACATTTTTTCTACCAAACATTTCCCTATTCTGATGCTTCTGATGACAGCTGGAAGTATAATAATTTCTTTGTTGTGAAATATTACTTCTTTGCAACATCCTACATTCTAACCGGACATCTCTATTGAATTTCCAAAGTATAGACTTTCTCAGCTCTAAATTTACCCTTGTTAAGTGGTTAGCAACAGTCTTTATTAATAATAGGTAAATAAAGCTCTTGGTGAACTTATATTGTTAACTTGGGGAAGTTTACAAAGTAATCATTAACTAATTAATCTGATTTACACACTACTTCTAAACACTGAAGTTAGGGAGCTGGATCTATTAGCTAATTAGCAACCTGATTGCAATGCATGGTCCTTGTCATGGTATCATTTTCACCTTTTGTGTGCTTTTGCACACTTAGGCACCACCCTTAGATCACATTAAAAGGCTTAGAGCACTTATCCTCACCTTACCCTACTACAATTCCTATGTTATCCCATCCAATGGTTATATGCTCATGTCAACTGTGCGCTTTCTATCAGCTATCTGGGCAATGATTGCCCATTCCCTCTTTTGCTCCTTTGTTGGCCTTTTTCAACATCTTGATTAACACTGCTTCTTCAATGGGGTTGGGCGAGGTAGTCATGAAACTGGGCTAGGAGTACCCAAGAGGCCAAGAATGTTACTCGTTTTGTCTTGTATATTGTTAAATTTATCTTTCATTCTTGTTCTTTAGCGTGTTCTTTGGGTCTAGATTGTAGACTTCTTCACTTTGCACATGGAAATTGTACATGCATTCGAAATAATATCTGAAAGTAATTTCTAATTTTTCCTGAGCTCTAGTAGGTAGGATTTTTCTTTCTAGGGTCCACTTTTGTATGTGACAAACATCGTCAGGTCTATGCATTGTTGATATGAGTCATCACTGTACATTCTTTGCTGTGTGCTTTTGGATGTTTGCACAAGTTTCAAGCTGTTTTGTTCCATCTGTTTACATGATCTTTCTAACTTGGATCTTGTTTCTGTATATGTTTAGATATTTTAACGTCATTGGGTCAGATCCTGATGGAAGATTGGGGGAGGCTCCTAGACCTGAGTTGCGAGAGCATGGACGTATTTCAGGCGCATGTTTTGATGCAGCTCGTGGTATTACTCAAGGACTGAAGGTATGCATGTATATGTGTACTTTATGTATGCATATTGTGCACTGTTGTCTAATCCTTCATGATATCTGTCTGTGTATATGGATGGTAGTATTTTGTGGAAAATCTGTAAAAATTGTCTAAAAGTGACAACTTTGATTTTGCCGTTAGTCTGTTCTACAATTGAATGGAGTCTACTAGTCTGCATGTGTGGAAAACCTCTTCTCCTTTTCTCCAACCATATTTTATCATTTGAATTTAAGTAATCCTCTTCATGTTTTTTCAATCAGCAATCTTTGCTACTATCCATTTGTCTTCGTGATACACAAAGCACACGTTCTTGTATGAATTAAAACTAGTGGACTTTCGTATTTTTGTATCCTACCCTCAGCTTTTGGCTGGGGAGCACTTTCATGAGTGAATGTTCAGTGGCCGCTGAGCAGCTTCTTTGCTTTTTTCTGTGTTTGCAAGCTCTTACTCCCCGATTTGTGGCACTGCTAATCTCTAAAAGACAAGACAAAAATACTACATTTTTTTATCATCTTCTGATGAACTTAATTCTTGCAGTTAGAGCCATATATTTATGTCAGATATTGATTATACAGGTAAGAGGAACAAATTACAAAACACCAGATGGCACTTGTATACGAGATTACATTGATGTGACGGATCTGGTTGATGCTCATGTCAAAGCTCTTGAAAAGGCAACGCCAGGCAAGGTTGGAATCTACAATGTTGGAACAGGAAAAGGTAATGTGTTGAAATTCATTGTTGATTGGAAATTTTGTCCGATTCCACCTATTAAAATTGGGTTTTTGTCAAAAAACCTCTCTCAATTTTTATTGTAAGAAGACACCTTAATCATTTTTTTTTGTCAAACACCACCTTTAGCCGGATTTCACCCTTTGACTCACTATTTTCGGCTTTGACTCCGCTCAAACTCTCATTTTCTTTCATTCCTTTGCTGTACCACCACCTTCTCTTCTCTTTCCACTGCCACTATGTCTCCCCCACCTCCTCTCTCTTCTCCTCTTTTTTAATCTTTATCTCTCTCTTAATTCTAGTTGTTTGGTGAGTTTTTCTTGATGATTGAGGTTGATTTTAGGGTAAATGATATAGTTTTCAAGTTGTTAAAGTTGTTTTGGCCTTTTGGGGTGGGGTGGGGTGGGTGGTTATGGAGGTGGTTGAGTGGTTTAGAGGTTGGTGGGTTTCCGTTAGTGGGTGATTGGTTTCGGTGGTGTTTGGTGGTTTTGAGACACTATTGAGGGAGTTGGGTGGATTTTGGAGAGGTTCCATGGGGGCGGCATTGTTGGGCTGGGTGGTAAGATGGGTATATATGGTGCATGGCACATGGGTGCTTAATACCGGAAAAGGAAATTCTATGTCGAAATCCGTCATTAGGTGCTAATTAAAAAATAAAAAGAAATAAAAAAAATGAAAAAGATAAGTGGCTTCTTACGGGAAAAAAATAAAATAAAATTGAAAGATGTATTTTAAAAGGTGGTTTTTTTGACAAATTTTCCTTTTGAATTTTCCTTGCTGGAGTTTTTGTAGGATCCATTGGGAGGTTAATTAGCTTTTTTGACCTACAATTTAATATGTGGATTATTTCTTACTGAAGTTTATCTTGTATTACCAGGTAGTTCTGTCAAAGAATTTGTGGAGGCTTGTAAGAAGGCGACTGGGGTAGACATAAAGGTTGATTATCTCCCTCGTCGCCCAGGTGATTACGCTGAAGTTTACAGCGACCCAACAAAGATTAGGGAGGAGCTGAACTGGACAGCGAGGCATACAGATCTCCAAGAGAGTTTGGAGACAGCGTGGAGATGGCAGAAGACTCATCGAAATGGCTACGGACCTGCACTATCAACAGCTATCTAAATGGGTGTACCCTGCATTAGGATGCCGTTAAGTAGACCCTGTTTTCAGATGCATAGCCCCTGACTAGTGATTGTAGGAGAAGAGGGTGGTTAAATTCGAGGGTTATAGGTATTTATTCATTATTATTATTGTTGTTAAAAGGTATACTTATTTGTAGGATAGTTATTGTAGGAAGCAATAATTCATTTGTTACATCATGTCGTCGCCCAAATAGATGTATAATTATATACAATAATCATCCTAGTAGGAGCTTTTATTGATTATGAATTTTTCTGGGCTCAGGCCATTAGATTTACACTTAACTGCAATCGGCCCTTTCCCTGCCACAACTTTTGAGTAATTTTAGTATTTAACTGTTTTGCTTTCATAAGATCAATGGTTTAAGTATTTCATGTGTAATACCGAGTAAAAGGTGCTTGTACTCCATAGCCATGTTATATTATGATTATAAACTTTCATAAAATGATAGGTTTCGTAAAATCCTCACAGGCAGATTGCAAAACTTCCAGTTTTTCAGATAGGCTAGGCGACTATCGGACCTTCACAACCACATCCAGGATTTTGTTTTAAACAGTTACAAGGCAATCTCACCAAAGACGTCAGAAAATGTAATTCTTCTCATCTTCTGTCACTGCTTTCACATACTAACCTAGTCCCTCTACATTAATATGCAATCTTTACATGTCTGATACAGACCACAGATACTTCTCACTCAGTAGCTCCTTTTTCATTTGTTCTTTTGAACAATTGCTTTTCATGTCCTACATAGCAAAGAAAAGAGGATGAGAACATTGTTACTTTTCTTTCAAACTAGTTGTTGGTCCTTCAAACACTTGGCCGGTAATTGTGACTCATCATAACCACCATATTAAGGAGCATTCATATTCTTTAGCTTCTCAATTTGGTATTTGGTTATGTTGTTTGGGAGACAACAAATGTAAAAAGAGAGGAGAGTTGATAGTATTGAGGCACTACTGGAGGACAGGTCTTAGAGCTGGAGGAAATCCGACTGACTAGAGAACAAAGAGGTCCTAATGTACTTCATATGCAGTAGCCAAAAAATCTGACTTATCTCAAAAATTTAAAGCTGGAATTTGCACCGAAATTCTGATTTCTTAGAATTTTCAGCTGGAGTTTGCCACACAGATTTTCAATTGTTTATTCACACATGTTGCTAGATAAATCTAATCTACTGAGCAACAGGTGAACATAGCCAATTTGATCTCATCTGAGATAGTTGATGCATGATTGCATTAAGCGTTTAAAATGTTAAGAGTAACTGGTTTAGTGGTTTTCACCAGAAGTTTAAATGCAATGAAGCATCATCATTTTTTTGGGGCAAAGGAGAATAGAAGCTTAGGTTCTCCTCATAGCCGAGAGTAGGAGATGAGCCTGCAGTACAGCATTTCTAGGAACATTACAGTTGATACATAGATCAAATTTGCTAGCAGCTTCTTGTATTTGTGTGATCACCTGTCCGACATGCCTTTGGAATGTATCAACAGCGTTCCTAACAATCTTCCCATACACACCAGGACTTTATGCATGAGTGATAAGACAGCAAGAATGTCAGCTATATGCTTAAGGTAACAACAGATTGAACATTAAAAATGTGATATCATTGCAGGGCAATAATTTAGATACAGCAGCAAAACCATAACACGTTTCTACAAAAACCCGCGAATTCGATTGGCTTAGCATGAAATAAGTCACAACTGAATATGCAAAATACAATACATAGATGGCAAAATTCAATAAGCAGAGTATCATACATTGCAAAGGAAGAGTAAGCTGGAAAAATTTACTTTAAATTCCAACGCTGAGTTATCAGGAATTCATCAGATATAATACCAGCCTGTAAATGAGTAAAGAAGCTTAGGTTCTTCTCATAGCCGAGAGTAGGAGGCGAGCCTGAAGCACAGCATTTCTGGGAACTTTATAGCAGATACATAGATCAACTTTGCTAGCAGCTTCTTAAGTTTCTGTGATCACCTTACCAACATTCCTTTGGAAGTTTTGTGGCTGGCAGAGTGCTTGACAATTACAAAGTACAAACATCATATTATGATGACATACTTCCCATCACACCATGATTTATTGTGATATGGCAGCAAGAATGACAGCTATATGCTTAAGGTAACAACAGATTGAACATTAAAAACATAACCATTGCAGCAGTAGGGCAATGATTTAAATACAGCAACAAAGCCATATATACGTTGCTACAAAACCCCGTGAACTTAGTTGGCTTAGCATAGATGACAAAATTCAAAAATAAGCAGAGTATCATACATTGCAAAGGAAGAGTAAACTGAAAAAATTACTTTTAAGTTCCAACACTATCAGGGATTCATCAGATATAATACCAGACAATTTCAGCTGATATCTAACACTAGGTTCTATTGATATTGCATCGGTTTAAAACATCAAAATTGACATTCTTTTCTAAACATAAGCTATTACAAAAGAAGGAACATCCACGTTATGCACCTCCAACTTCTGGTTTCAAAACCTCAATCACATTTGCCACAGAGCAACAAAATCTCCCTTCAGAAACCAAAGAACTCACTACCCCTTCAACTGCTTTCAGCACCTCATGAAACTCCGAATGCAAAGCCAATGAAGAGAAGTGCTCATCGACAACCAAACCAAACGCCTTCACAACATCTTCAACCCTTGGCACCCATTGACACAAGTTCAATCCCAATGTAGTAGCGGCCTTAGGACACGGACCAACATGAGGAAACCTCTCATACTTGTGCAACCACTTCCCTAAATACCTAACAAAATTCAACATTTCCTCAGCATTAAGCTTACTCAATGCACTCGAAAACACCACTTCATCAACATTTGACGATGACAACAAAAAGTGCAAACACAACTCGGCCTGTGAAAACTGATCATAGGCAACCATAAGTAGCAATGCAGCATCCTTTGCCAACCCCAATTTCTTCCCACTCGACTTCTTATCACCCACTTTCTCAATAGCAGCAGTAGCCTCACTCTCCCACTCACTCATAACACTAACCATGTTCAAACACCCTTCTTTCGACGGCGAAAGAAAGCACTTCAAAGCCCTACCTAAATCAGCAGACTCTAAATCATCAAAATACCTTAAACACAAACATACCAATTCAGACCGTCCCTTCGTAACCAGATTATACAACAAATCCGACCGAACCCCGTGATCAACGATAAACTTGTTGATGATTAATGTTTCCAAAATCATCCAATTACCCAGAATCAAACAACCCTCAATCACCAACCCCATTACATCCCTCCCAACAAACGACCCAAGCTTTTCAACCAATTTACAACAATACCCTTCAACATTTCCATCACTATCCTTCTTCGAAACCAAACCATCTAAACCTCCAAATTTAATAACCCCAACTTGTTCAAGAAAAGAAGTAAGCAATTTAACAAATGAAGCAGAGGAAAGAGATTGAGGAGATTTGATCTTACGCTTGAGTTTCTTGAAGAAAGTGGAAGTTAATTCGATAAGCTTGACATCAGGTTGAGAGATTTCGAATCCAGATAATGGCTGCAAAAGAGAAAGAGGGTTTTCAGAGCTAGGTTTGAGATTAGGGATGATGGTATCAGCGCTGAGATTGAAGGGGTAATTGAGAGGTTCGTCAATGGATTGTTGGTGGTTCGAAGCTTCGAGAATTTGCTCAAGCACAGTCATGGCGGCCGATGAAGGGGGTTCAGGAGGAAGGAGGAGGAAAAATGGGGTTTAACCTCCTTTATTGAAATGAAGTTGAGAGACGACCTGCCTCCTTTATTTATTTACAGATCGAACCTTGCGATGCAAGTATTTTTCATATAAGATTTTTAATTATTTAATTTATTGTATTTAATAATTTCAGATAAAATCACAAAAGTTTAGTATTTATTGTTTTTACTATAATTTATAATGAATTTATTAAATATAAATAAATTGCAAATATGATATTTTTCCGTTAAATGATAAATTTTTAATAATTTAAATCCTACATCATTATTCATTGTTTTACCATAACTTTTATTTCGATAGAATCACCAACCTCGTCCACAACCAACCTACTACATCAATGGATAAATTGAACCATGAAATGTTAGCCAAACTGAAATTGATATAAATTAAATCTTTACATTTATATAAAATAAATCAATATATTTACTAATAAATGAAAAATTGTTGCGATATTAAATTAAATCTATGCATTGGAATTTTTTATCATCTCAAAAAATAACCAAAGCCATCTATATATTAAGTATACAACATCTAATCGTATGTCATTACATAAACAAATAATCGTTAATTATCCTAAAAAAAATACAATGTAACTAATAATTACAAATATAAATTTAAACATAAGATTTTAAAAATTACCCCGACATTGATGACCTAAAACTAACATAAAATTACTAACACAAAATTCGCTTGATGGGGTTCTGTATTGATATGAAATTTTGTTTGTGTCGTATGATGTGTTAGATCTGCATGTACAAAAAACATTTAGTAAATAAAATATAAACATATAATTGTTGAGTATCCCAAATTAATACAATGTAAGTAATAATTAGAAATACTAATTTAAACATGGATTCAAAAAATTAAGCTAAAATTTACCCGGCCATTGATGACAAAAAATTTACACAAAATTACTAATACAAAATTTGCTTAATGGGGTTTTTTATTGATACAAAATTTTGTTTGTGTCGTATGATGTGTCAATTTATAATGGTAGGTATCACAAATTTTAATTTAATTATAATTAACGAACAATTTGTATTTCTTATCATAAATACTATCAAAATTTATCTTATAATGATAGGTATCAAACTTTATTACAAGCGTTTATCATTTAAATATTTTTTAGTATATTTTTTTTTGGATTTCTTATACTCGTAGTATTGAATTAATAAATTTATCTTTTCCTATATTTTTACTTTTTTTTTTTCATTAAAATAATTTACTTCGTGGATTATAATCTACGTGGCATTAATATTTTAGATATATCAAATCTAATTCGTTACTTTTATCTAGGTGGGGACATAATTTTTTATTCGTGGATTATAATCTACGTGGCATTAAAATTTTAGATATATCAAATCTAATTCGTTACTTTTATCTAGGTGGCGACATAATTTTTTAATTCAAAAATAAAATACAAATCTTTCTTCTTATTGGTCGAAATAAGTATATTTCTTACGTGGTGCTCCGAATGCTCTCCAAAAATGCCTATTTTAGTTATATATTAGATTTATTTATTTTTTTAACGACAAAAGAACGAGCAATTTCCAGGAAAATTGTTTTACATTACTTTTTATAAAAATTCCCTACATATCGTCCATGTCATCTATCTTATTTAAATATAATTTTTTTTTTTTTTTTGGTGTAGAACAAAACCGCTAATTCAATTAGCAGTTTTATAAAAGGTAAAACCACTAGTTGAAGCAGTTTATCTGAGTACAAAAACCACATTGTAAAAAATTGTGGGTTTAATATAAGCTAAAACTGCTAATCTAGGGTTCGTTTGGCATTGTTGTGGTTTCTGTTTTTTTTTTTTTTTTTTTTTTTTTGTTTCAAAACATATGATGTATATCAAATAATGAATCAAAAATTAGTCAACCTATTAAAATCATGATAATTTTTAAAACTGGCAAGAGAAAAGTGAAAACACCTTTTTCTTGTTTTCTGTTTTTGGTTTGTTGTTTTAAAAAAAATCAAAAACTGAAAACAAAAAACTATGCCAAACAAGCCATCAATTAGCAGTTTTATATAAGGTAATTCAATTAGCGGTTTTATGTAAGGGAAAACCGCTAATTCAATTAGCGGTTTGGCTCTAAACTAAAAAAAAAATAATAAAAAAAATTCATATTTTAAGAGGTTGGATGACGTGGATGGTATGTAGGGTATTTTGATAAAAAGTAGAGCAATTGAGGAATTTTGAGTTCTTTTAGCCATATCCATGAAAATCACTCCTGTTTGGGGTAAAAATACCCCTACAAATGGACCAATGCCAATGTGACACGTGTCCATATGCTCAGCGCTCAATGAGCCACTCAGAGCATGACACGTGTCATCTAAAGGGGAAACCAGGCTTGAAGCCCATGAAACCCTAGAAATCCATCCAAACTCTCTATAAATACTGATCATTCACATTAGTTGAGGGAGAGACAACATTGAATACACATTTAATCCACACCCAAAAACCCGAGCAATCTTCATTGCAGAATTCTCTCTAAATCAGAGAGAAGTATTTACATTCCGCACTATACTCCTCATACACATTCTAACTTGATCGTCAAAGGCGGAACTCCCTTGGAAGTCTCTGTTGTTTTGCAGGTACAGGCAGCCGGAGGTCAATCTCGGTGTTGTAACTCTCCCGCAGGACACATCAAAAAACTCCGAAACATCTGGCGCCGTCTGCGGAGAGAGTACCACTGAGATGGCTTCACAGCAGTCTATACCGCCTGCTGATAGGAGGCGGCCTACGGTCGAGGTCATAAGACCGAGTGCCTCCTCCCTATCCTAAATGTCTGAGCCGACCTAAACGTCGACCTACCCAGACAGCTTCTAGAATACCTCAATGAGGCATTCATAATCAAACCGAGGGGGTTAGTCAGGAGGCTTGGCCGTCCCTTCTGGCCCTCAGAATCCATTCGGCATAGTATGCGCTTCAGCAACCATACATACCGTGTGGAGTCATGTATGCACCCGACCCCTTTTTAGGGGTCAGGCGGCAAAAATGTCCATTAGGACTAGCAGCTCCGTCTGCAAAAGCCTTGGGGAACAACCTTCTGTGTTCTCAAACAAATAACCTTCTGGTGTGAAAGCGCTAGACTGCCGAATAATGCAGGCGTCATCAAGCCAACTGTTAACAACAGGCACCATTAGGCCAAAGGTCTAGTGCTACAGGCATCATGAGGTCATATTTGTCCCATGCTTAGACAGGCGGCATCATGCCGTCAAGCAGCCTCTTAGTCAGCCGGCATGCTCGGGCATGTTGACATACAAGCCGACTAAAGGAAGTTCAAATTTTGAAAGTCCAGCTATATACAGCCGGCATGGGTCCCATGCTTAGACAGGAAACCTCAATGCTGAGTCCAATGGGTTCATCCATGCATGTGAGCAGGGGCTGACTAATACACAGTCGTCCCCAGGCTCCCTTGTAAGCATACCATACAGGAGGCGTCATAAGGCCGACTCTCAAATGCCTCAGGCGTTGTGAGGCCGACTATCCAGTACATGAGGCGTCATAAGACTGAGTGTCAAGTGTTACAAGCGTCATATGACCAACTGTCAAGGGTCAGCTGGCAAGCTTGTAAGCTATTCTTATTATTATATCATTATTATGATTATTAAAATAAAAGAAAAATAAAAAAAAATTAATTTTGCAATTGCAAAAGTCATGCCGCCTAACTTCCATATTGTATATATTTATATACAATGTTGGAACCACTGTATATATTTACAATTGCAAAAGTCATGCATGAGAGCAATAAAGCCATGCATTTTTGAGTGGTTTGTTACGTCAAGCATATGCAAGCGGCATTGTGTTTCACTCACCTCCGGCTGTCCTAACCAATGCTTCCTTGCTTGAACTACAAACGACATAAGTGTGTGGCTCCATTTTAAGCTATTGCACCAAATGGGCACAGCCGGCATTTCCCAAGACATTCAAGCAAAACCATGGACGCCTGAGCTTGAGGAGTAGGCTGCATATATGCTAGATAAGTGGCGCATGCAACACGCTTACAAAGCTGCCTGGGTATATGTAACTCAATGCCATAGTCAGCTCAAGCAAGGCAAGCGTCTATATAAGCACTAGTGTGGACTTTTGGTCGTCTAATGTCGATCTCCAAATGCAAGCTAAATGGCTCGTTGCACCAAAAGCATACAACCGGACATCTCAATGTCCCGGCCAACGAAAGCAGCCAAGCATCCAGCCAGCACTAGGCAACACACCCGGCTATGTGTATGAGAGCTAGGCTATGGGCAGTCCGTATTTAATGATTGTGCTTCCTATAAGGAAGGCCGGATGTGACTAAGCGGCAAGGCTCCATGAATAACCCAAACAAAAATTCCAGGAGCAAACAAGTGAGGGTCAAACGGTAATAAAGCTTAGCAATGCCCAGGCGACATTCCCAGCAAAAGCACCCATCCACCGTATGTGGCCTGGTTATGTATAATTTGAAGCAAGCGTGAATTTGGCATCAAGCATAGGATTGGGTCAGGCGGAAATTAAAAAAGCAGCCACCCAGCCTCCATGGTGATCCAAAAGCATGCAGGCGGTAACCATGAGGACAGCCAGCCAGCTCCATTTCTGCATACACAAACGGCTACCTTGCGAGAGCAATCATAGGTGCCTGTATGCATGGATATGCAGGCTAGTTCACGAGATTGCAGCCTTATGGATGAAACGAGTGTAAGGGTCAGGCGACCTTGTTTGGAAGAGCTCACAGCCGGTACATATAGTACGCCTGAGTATACGGATCAAGCACAGCTGGAGGCCTGATCATCCTTCATACATGCGGTCCGTTATGATAATCAAAAGGGTCAGCCGGTGTAAAGGATTATATCATAACCCGGATGCGCATGCATCACGTCAAGGGTGTTCAAGTATTAGCATAGCAGACGGCCAATCTTAGCCACCTTTGGCTGTGTTCACACATGTCAAACCGTGGCCAACTTCTCAAACTTTCAGCTGCACTAAATGGGGAGGGCGTTCAGCCCAAGCTCCTACAGCCGTCTCTAAGGTGCGCATGTTACAAGCGGAGGACATCCGGTTCCCTTCAC